AATTTGGGATTAAGTCTATTATTGAAGTAGTACTAAAATTGAAGTAGACCATTATTATACATGCTGAACTGTCACTTGGTGAACGTTAGTGTCAGTAATTCTGTCACGAGCCCTCCAGTCGTTACAGGTGTGACGCTTTTTTGTTATTTCTCTGAATGAAACAATATCGAGGCCACAAAGTTATCTAGTATTTCTTCAAGTTACTAATGAAACGAGAGTCTTAACGTTTGCATAGATTACGAAATTACGTGGTTTGAGTCTTGTACAGCCTCCAGTGAAATATCTGATATCCTTCCCCATAAGTAACTCCGCCTGGAGTCCCTCCGGGGGCTACTGCCGGTCCCAAGCCCGGATAAAGGAGGAGGGTTGGGCATGGGGTTAGCGTCCCCATCCCGTAGAAAACTAACTCGCTAAAAAAACGCTAACCAGAAAAAATTATTCAAACCTTTTAAACTCTGCCCTGGGAGTCAGAAGGTCTTCATTTAGAAGAATTATGACGCCTCATGATGAAAGCCGAATTCCTTCGGAAGTTACGAGGCCGATGCCCCTTCTGACAACCAGAGCGACCATTTATTTAGGTACATGGAATGTTCGTACAATGTGGGACACCGGAGAGCCTTCCAAATTGCTGCAGAAATGAGAAGATACAACCTAGAGGTACTTGGGATCAGTGAAACACATTGGACACAAGTTGGACAACAACGACTAACTACAGGAGAGCTCCTGTTATACTCCGGCCATGAAGATGAAAATGCACCACATACACAAGGAGTTGCATTGATGCTGTCCAAACAAGCGCAAAATGCGCTTATAGGATGGGAATCTCATGGACCAAGGATCATCAAAGCCTCGTTCAAAACAAAGAAAGAGGGTATTTCAATGAACATCATCCAATGCTATGCGCCTACCAACGACTACAATGAAGACGCTAAAGATCAATTCTACAATAGGCTGCAGTCAATCGTCGAGAAGTGCCCAACAAAGGACCTGACTATTCTGATGGGAGATTTCAACGCCAAGGTTGGAACGGACAACACTGGATATGAAGACATCATGGGACGACACGGACTGGGAGAAAGAAACGAAAATGGTGAGAGATTTGCAAATCTATGTGCCTTCAATAAGCTGGTCATAGGCGGCACCATATTCCCACATAAACGCATACACAAAACCACATGGACTTCACCGGATCACTCTACACAAAACCAAATCGACCATATTTGCATCAACAAAACGTTCAGGAGGACTATAGAGGACGTGAGAACCAAGAGAGGAGCTGATATAGCATCAGATCATCACTTGCTGGTCGCCAAGATGAAATTGAAACTCAAGAAGCACTGGACAACGGGGCGGACAATATCACAAAAGTTCAATACGGCCTTTCTTCAGGATACTAACAAACTCAACAAATTCAAGATAGTCCTCAGCAACAAGTTCCAGGCCTTTCATGATCTACTCAATGGAGAAGGAACTACTGTGGAGAGCAACTGGAAGGGGATCAAAGAGGCAATCACTTCAACATGTCATGAGGTCCTGGGTCACAAGAAGCACCATCACAAGGAATGGATCACTGTTGATACACTGGATAAGATTCAAGAAAGAAGGAACAAGAAGGCAGCAATCAATACCAGTCGAACAAGAGCAGAAAAAGCCAAGGCACAAGCTGAATACACAGAAGTAAACAAACAAGTGAAGAGGAGCATCAGAACCGACAAACGTAAATATGTGGAAGATTTAGCAACGACGGCGGAAAAGGCTGCAAGAGAAGGAAACATGAGACAACTGTATGACACGACAAAGAAACTCTCTGGAAATCGCCGCAAACCAGAACGACCAGTGAAAAGCAAGGAAGGCGAGGTAATCACCAACATTGAAGAGCAACAAAACAGGTGGGTAGAACACTTCAAAGAACTCTTGAATCGACCAGCTCCACTGAACCCACCCAACATCGAAGCAGCACCCACGGACCTCCCAATCAATGTTGGCCCACCAACAATTGAAGAAATCAGCATGGCCATCAGACAAATCAAGAGTGGCAAAGCAGCAGGACCGGACAACACCCAGCAGAGGCACTAAAAGCAGACGTAGCGGCAACTGCAAGGATACTCCACATTCTCTTCAATAAGATTTGGGATGAGGAACAAGTACCAACAGACTGGAAAGAAGGACTTCTGATCAAAATACCGAAGAAAGGCGATCTCAGCAAGTGTGATAACTACAGGGGCATCACTCTTCTCTCAATACCGGGAAAAGTCTTCAACAGGGTATTGTTAAACAGGATGAAGGACTGCGTAGACGCCCAACTTCGTGACCAACAGGCAGGATTCCGTAAGGATAGATCGTGTACAGACCAAATCGCAACTCTACGGATCATTGTGGAACAATCAATTGAATGGAATTCATCACTCTACATCAACTTCATTGACTACGAAAAGGCATTTGATAGCGTGGACAGAACAACACTATGGAAACTTCTTCGACACTACGGCGTGCCTCAGAAGATAGTCAATATCATACAGAATTCCTATGATGGATTAAACTGCAAAATTGTGCATGGAGGACAGTTGACAAAGTCGTTCGAAGTAAAGACCGGTGTCAGGCAAGGTTGCTTACTCTCACCCTTTCTCTTTCTCCTGGTGATCGACTGGATCATGAAGACGTCAACGTCTGAAGGGAAGCACGGGATACAATGGACATCTAGGATGCAGTTGGACGATCTAGACTTCGCAGATGATCTGGCCCTTCTATCCCAAACGCAACAACAGATGCAGGAGAAGACGACAGTGTGGCAGCAGCCTCAGCAGCAGTAGGTCTCAATATACACAAAGGGAAAAGCAGGATTCTCCGATACAACACAGAATGCACCAATCCAATCACAATTGACGGAGAAGATTTGGAAGATGTAAAAACCTTTACGTATTTGGGCAGCATCATTGATGAACAGGGTGGATCTGATGCAGATGTGAAGGCGCGGATCGGCAAAGCAAGAGCAGCATATTTACAACTGAGGAACATCTGGAACTCAAAGCAACTGTCAACCAACACCAAGGTCAGGATTTTCAATACAAATGTCAAGACAGTTCTACTGTATGGGGCAGAAACCTGGAGAACTACGAAAGCCATCATCCAGAAAATACAGGTGTTTATTAACAGTTGTCTACGCAAAATACTTCAGATCCGTTGGCCGGACACTATTAGCAACAACGTACTGTGGGAGAGAACAAACCAGATCCCAGCGGAGGAAGAAATCAGGAAGAAGCGCTGGAAGTGGATAGGACACACATTGAGGAAAGCACCCAACTGCGTCACAAGACAAGCCCTCACATGGAATCCTGAAGGCCAAAGGAAAAGAGGAAGACCAAAGAACACATTACGCCGAGAAATGGAAATAGACATGAGAAAAATGAACAAGAATTGGATGGAACTAGAAAAGAAGGCCCAGGACAGAGTGGGTTGGAGAATGCTGGTCAGCGGCCTATGCTCCATTGGGAGTAACAGGCGTAAGTAAGTAAGTAAGTTTCCCATAAGTAAATTCGAAACACAAAGGTTGGCTCGCGTACTGTTCTGATGATCAGATCTATAAATATGAATCATGTAAAATCACACAAACGAATAGCATGACGAAACTATGCAGTCCCTAGAGTTATCCAGCATGATTAAACAATCCAATCTACAATACATTGGATTGGTGACTTGACAAAAGGCAGGTAATTATGATCAGCTTTAGGAAAAATAGCTACGTTCCTGTTAATCAGGGAAAATTATTTTGCACTTTTGAGATAAGTTGAAATGATCGGTTTGAAGATTAGTAACCAGACTACGGAAGACAAAGATAACAGGCTTCGAGGCTGGAGGTCATTTGAAAACAAAAGCAACTTAGTCCGTATAAACTATGTGGTAAAATGAAAAGCTTAAGATACCGAAATTACAATTAGAATAGGTAATAACAGTTCATGTTCAAGGCCAAGAAATAGACGGGATATTTCGAAAATGTCAAAAGGACAACCTTAAGTTGAGAGCAAAATAAAGTTTTTGTCTCTGATGATTTATATCAGGAGAGATTTCTGTAAGCAAGCATACACAATTTCGGAAACATACCAAGTCATACACAAAACGATCTTTCGGAAGTTTAGTTTTTTCTGTTATTTGACCTTAAAGACAAACTCAATGGGAAAGAGCTACATATTAACTTCGTCAATGGCTTGCCAAATCACTCTGAGAGATATTCGCTTACTTACTGACTCGAAGTGCCATTTTTGGATAATTCGCAAAGGTTTTGATTTTCAACAAACTTTTTTGGCCCCAGTCAGAGTATGAAAGCCTTATGTTTCCCGCTTCAAAAAAGCAATGATAATCCGGAGAGCATCCAATAAAAAGCCACAAAACCAGTGGAGGAACTCAAGTGCAAGCCTTACGAGAGAAGTTTTAAACCGTCGGACCTTTACTTTCAGAAATTAAAGACATTACTCATAAGCCACATAAGCACAGAATCACAAAGGCATGAATATAAGACGTATACGTGATGAAGTTCAAGATTTTCTAAGGAAACAACAGAGGTACAGGAGGGTTATAATGGCTCAGTAGTCACGGTTTGTCTGAGTGATTAAATTCTATTAGGAAGCTAGGATGAATAATGTAATTGTGTAACAATACTAGAGACTTCATGACTTAGGACAGGATCTCAGGGAAATTTACGAACACTCCTTTTACATATCTGTTTCCCCTACCTGGGTACCCACCTGGAAATAGTGTGATACACGGTAACTAAGCTCAGAAAGTTCTATTCCATGTGCAACCATTTCAATAATTGAAGCCTCTATTTGCAACTGAAAAAAGTAAGACCTATGCACGCTTTAGACACACGCAAAGGAAAACCACACACTTATATAAGATATAATGTAAGATTCTGCACTTAGCACTCCAGAACATGATTCTGGGACGTGTTAAATACTATTGAATAAAGGACAGTAACAGTGTTTGGCGGCACTAACAATTAAAGCATGGCTCCGAAAGCTCCAGCAAAAAAAGAGAAGAGTGATGATCAGGTCAAGAAGACCCAGGGTAGTAAAAATGTATCCAAGAAATCTCAAAAACCTTCAAAGTCACTCAAGGCCCTAAAAGTGTAAAAGGTGGAAAAGTTGTGAAGGCAGGAAACAAAAGTTAGTTTACTTGTATTTCCTTAATATGAACTAGTATTATTTCTCGTCTTACACATATCTTTTGTCCGATTACTAACTTATTATTTTCACATCTTGTTATAAAGAGTCCACAGCCTCTCTAAAGGCGTTAAAAGCGCAACGGGCCGTCACACTTGGTGCTCACACGAAAGGCAAGAAAAGAGTGATGTATACTACGCGATTCAGGCGACCTAAAACGTACAAACCTCCTCGCTGTCCAAAAGACAGAAGATTCCTGATCCCTAAGAGAAACAAGTAAGTGTCTGCCTAGCTTTTTATATTTCCAGACTTGATGCCTTTCGTATCATTCAACATCCGGTTACAACCGAAGCTGCTATGAAGAAAATTGAAGATAACGACACGTTAGTGTTCATTGTTGACAGAAGAGCAAACAAACCAGCAATCAAGGCAGCTGTTCAAGAACTTTATAATATCAAAGTTGCGAAAGTCAACACACTTAATTGCCCTAACAACGTTAAAAAAGCATATGTGAAGCTACCTCCTGATTTCGACGCCTTAGACGTTGCTAATAGAATTGGTATTATATAAGTTGTACAAAAAATACATGTGCTAGTGTTTCGAGATACTTGTGAAATTATGCTTTTTTGATCTGGTGTATAGTACTTTCCCGAGGTATGCAATATGGTCGTACTTCCTAACTCATTAGTAAAAATAATTGACTTCGTAAACCCACATAGTTCCTTTTCAGATTGATTAGACTTATCGATATCGTTACTAGCCACAGTTTGCACATTCTTCGTCTTCACACAAGTCAATCGTACTAAGTGCTATTAGAAATCAAGTAGATTGATGTCCATCAACGTAAAGATTACTATAAAAAGTACAACATAAGTTTAAGGTTACTCTTTATTTTATTTGTTACAATACTTCGTTAGAGAGACCTACGTCTGATTTTGGGGATCTACACTAATTCAGAATCTCCCGAATGAAAATGCAACCTAACAGTATAGCTCTAAGAATTGTGTGATTAACTAATCTGCATTGCCATCTTATCTGGACGTAATGACGTCCATGATTGAGAATAACGCATCCAGATTAGTTGATATCTGACAAACTGAATGTTTATCATACATATTACACGACATTACTAAGTTATATAGGCGCTCTAATCAGTCAGAAAACTCAATTCTCATTCGATGTGTAAAGTACGTTTTATGTTACCTGTATTGCTTAACGTATTAGAAAAATCCGTCACTTGGGCTTAATATCAAAAATATTTTTGCTACAAGTGATGCCTATAGGAAACATCGTACTAAATCCAATCAGCTTCATACATTTGACTTGTAATGGTGCATTATCAGCTCGCTATGTTCGTGTGCTTTGGGTCTGTGTGCACGATAAGTACGGTTAGTAGGCAAGTAAATTAGATCAGTTACACAATGACTCCGGATGTGATTCAGTTTTTATGTCCCTATTAGATTCCTTTATTTCACTGATCGGAATTAAAGTAATGACTCCAAAGGTAAGTAATGGTGAGATTAGACGCAGGGTATTAGGGAATGATGGTAAATCAATTGGTGAGGTGAATCTTCATCGACTGAGATGGTTGGGTCACGTGTTTCGTATGCTCGAACACCGATTACTACGACGTGTAATGCTAACCGGTATTGGAGATGGTTGGAAGAAAGTTAGGGACGGCCAAACCAAAACGTGGCATCAGTTCTTGAAGTCACTAACTTCTAGTCTGAACCATGTTGGAAGATGCAGACTACTTGGTTGGGGTCCGTGTGACTATCGTAGCCAATGGTTGGAGACTCCTGGTGACATGGCTCAGAATCGATCACAATGGCGTTGGTGTATACACTCTCTGTCTTTCCTTGGACTAAGAGATTAAAATCGCTTCATATCTTTCTTAGGCGCATAGGAAAGTTCGTTCTGTAAGCATCAACCTTGGTAAATGCTAGACCCCGTAAGTTGGTTTGTTTTTTATATACACATAGAAATTGTTTACCTTAGTAACAAATGTCCCCAATACAACTGATAAACAGAAACTACTTGTTGTGACACTTCCGTCACTGAATTTGTTGGTTCTCCTCAGAATATGTTTCACTTTATTCTAAAGGGGTCTATTAGTTTGGCTGACAAACATCCGCAAATTATACATAGTACAGGAAGAAAGAATTAGTTCGTAGAAAGATATGAAGCGATTTTAATCTCTTAGTCCAAGGAAAGACAGAGAGTGTATACACCAACGCCATTGTGATCGATTCTGAGCCATGTCACCAGGAGTCTCCAACCATTGGCTACGATAGTCACACGGACCCCAACCAAGTAGTCTGCATCTTCCAACATGGTTCAGACTAGAAGTTAGTGACTTCAAGAACTGATGCCACGTTTTGGTTTGGCCGTCCCTAACTTTCTTCCAACCATCTCCAATACCGGTTAGCATTACACGTCGTAGTAATCGGTGTTCGAGCATACGAAACACGTGACCCAACCATCTCAGTCGATGAAGATTCACCTCACCAATTGATTTACCATCATTCCCTAATACCCTGCGTCTAATCTCACCATTACTTACCCGGTGATCCCAGCAGATGCGAGCCATATTTCTAAGGCATCTATGATCAAATACTAATAGCTTACGAGTTTCTTCTACCTTTAATAACCGCGTTTTGCAACCGTAAAGTAGAACAGAACGAACTGGCGAACTGTATACTCGTCCTTTAATTGATAGGCAGATATCTCGCCTCCGCCGTAGTTGGTAAAGACAAACGAGCTTTTTGAATCTGTGTTGAGATTGAGTCCGACACCAACCCATTAGGGCTGATCATAGTCTCAAGATAAGTGAAGTTGTCGATGTGTACGAGTGCTTCACTCCTTATCCTTAGTTCAGTTGTTGGCGCAGGTCAGTTCTGGAGCAGCAATTTTCATTTACACGGGGGAACGCATCCCGACCATCCTGGCATTGTCTCTTAATGCTACCAAAAGATTATTATTTATTTATTTGAACGCATAAATATTGGTACAAGGGTGCGCCACACAAAACAATGAGAATTTAAAGAGAAGGAAAAGGAAAAAAAGGCAAGGAGCGTAAAAAATGAACGATAACGAAGAGATTGGTTTAAGGTAGTGTAATAATAATAATAATAGTAATAATGGAGGAACGGAAAGGTACAATTAGAAGAAATATTTCAGTTAAGGAAGATACAACCACTTTTTACGAAGAAAGTAAAAGAAGGTTACAGCAGGATCGCCACTGGCTTCTATTCTGAGCCATATCTGATAACGTCTCTAGCCACTATGTAGCACCATCTCTAGGACCCCAGCCATGGAGTCGTGAATGACCAACACAAGCAAGCCCTTTGCAGCTTTCTTTGATCCACGACACCATGTCATATATTGGCCACCTCTCCACTTTTCCAACCAGTCCCACAGTCGGCAAATAATGCACGACGTGGAATTCTCTGGGACGACATTCGTAGAACATGTCCAAGCCACCGAAGTCGGTGTTTTAAGATGGTAACACCAATTGAATTATCATCTCTGTGCCCGAACACACGATGCCGAACCTCTGCATTACTGACATGGTGTTGCCACTGAATGTCAGCAATCCTCGGAGACAACGATGATCGAACACAGAGAGTCGTCTAACGTCCTCAACTCGGAGAGGCCAGGTTTCACAAGCATAGAGCAAAACTACTCTCACCGACGCGTTGTAGATCCGACCTTTTACAGCCAGACTAACATCACGAAGGCGCCAAAGGTGGCCGCTCTGGCTTTATTATACGTGCATTGATCTCATCACTCACACCCCCACCAGTACTTATGCAGCTACCCAGATACACGAACTTCTCGATTACTTCTATCTGCTCACCATCCAGGGTGAGTATAGGATTGGAATCCTGCCAGTCTTGTAGAAGTACTTTGTACTTCGAAGGTGCAAAGCACATACCAACCTACGGACACTGATTGCCAACTGATTAAGTGCGAATTGTATGGCTTGGGCAATATCGCACAGTAAGACAATATCATCCGCATACTCAAGGTCGAGAAGTCTTTCTCCAGGCAACAGATCCACACCGCCATTACTTACATCCATCAGATCTGTTTCCAGAATGTCATCGACGGCAAAGTCGAAGAGGAACGGTGAAATTGGGCAACCCTGCCTAACCACACTGCTCGAATAGAACAATGGAGAAAGGTGGTTGTATGCCCTCACTCTGCCTGAGGTGTTTGTATATAGGGCTTTTAGGATGTTAATAAACTTCTCAGGCACACCCTTCTTCAATAAACAATCCCAGAGAACAGTCCTATCCAACGAATCGAAGGCAGCCCTGATGTCACGAAACATTACGATTGTTGGCCTTTGATAATTATGACGGTGTTCAAACATTTGGCGGAGGGTGAAGACATGATCAATACATCCTCGACCAGAACGAAGCCCAGCCTGCTCCACGAGAGTCAACCTTTCTCGGGTCTTGAACAACCTACGAAGTATGACGGAAGCCAACAGCTTGGACGCAATCGGAAGTAGACTTATCTCCCTATAGTTGTTACAGGAACGACGTGAACCCTTTTGAAGATGGGGACAACTATAGACTCATTCCATGATGTTGGTACACATGGAATGACGTTTTATCAGCATCACCCCATGCCCTAGTACGATTGAGAGTGGAGAGAGTCACCTCTCCTTTTCGAAATGCTATCAGATGGACACGTTCGTGCAACCACTGACAGGGAAGTCCTACTCACTGACTTCTCGCGGCATTCCTGTTGTTTACGAAATTGAGAGGACGAAAAGCGAATATCCGGCGCTTTAACCGGGTTGGTAGATACGGAGAGTCCACTTAGGGGAGTTGGAAAACCCTGATTCCAAACCAATGGTGCACATGGGCTCCCGTATCCTGAAGGAATAAATGGCGTATGAACCTATTGTTGGTCAACGGCTACCAAGGGAGTGCATCTCCTGACGTTGCTTCACTGCTCTGTGGTTCAGACTTTTAGGTTGCAGACTCCGGATCTGGCCCTCTAAGAAAACCACCTGCTTCGGTTTTGGAACCCGGTTAGTATCCCAGCCCTCACGCAAATCGAGTGATTTATGTGGCGCATACCTATTTGGTGCCTCCTCGTACCAATATTTATATGTTTAAATAAATAAATAAACCAAACAGGACTATGCCCTGTCCCATGTAAAAGTCGTACTGCTGACTGTAGAGGGTGTGACAGCAGTAAGGTGTTTCCCCTGGACAACCAGCATCTGCAGCGACGCTGCCTTCTCACAAGGAAGGAAGGATTAAAAAAGTTCGACCCTAAAAATGTCACACCTCACTTTACCTCATGGATTTCCGTCGTCGGCGGTAAGGCGTTTTGAAGAACAGAACTGACACATTAAAAACCTCCCACGAAAAGGCCGTGCGCGACCGGCCTCAGGCAGTTGTCCCCTGGGCGGTGGGGTCACACTCCCAGGTCGTTAAGGCCAACATTAATCCGACTTCCTTTTCAGGTTCCTCAAGTAATACCCTTCCACGGTGTGGGCAACCGGGAAGTTACATCAGCCCTTATACCAGTAATGGCACACGAGACCA